ATCAAAACGAATCCGACCAAAATCCTAATAATCACCTTGAAAATGTTTTTGCGAATGAATTTTTTGGTCAGTTTGAAGATTTTGTTTCGGAGGAATATCATCAAGACGAAACCAACCAAAATCATAATAATGATTTTGTCTCGGAGGAATATCATCAAGACGAAACCAACCAAGCTCATAATAATGATTTTTTCTCGGATGGATATCATCAAGGCGAAACCAACCAAGCTCATAATAATTATTTTTTCTTGGAGGGATATCATCAAGACGAAACCAATAATAATCGTTTTTTCTTGGAGGGATATCATCAAAACGAATCCGACCAAAATCCTAATAATCACCTTGAAAATGTTTTTGCGAATGAATTTTTTGGTCAGTTTGAATATTTTGTTACGGAGGAATATTCTTTAAATCAACTTGAAGGCTTTTTCACGAAGGAATGAACCCCACCAAAATCCTAATAATAAAAATCCCAATAATCTTGTTTTAAGACGATTTTGATAACGAATACTATGTTACATAAATGCTTAATTTAGCAGTTTTGAAGGCTGGAACCTTAATACTGTAATACAAATTAAAAAAAATTATAAACTACATGTAATTTGCAATCAGTAACTCTACAAATTTTTATAAACTTATAATATATTATCAATAATAATGCGCTAGGAGATTGAAAGTGACATTATTTTTTTGTGATATAAGACTTTTACAGATGGCAATCAAAATTATGCGGACACTTAATAAAGTAAAATAACACAAAATCTAATGAAAAAATCTTATTCCATAAATTAGAATTTTATTTTTATTGACCATTTCTTACATAATCTATTAATAGATTAATATTTGGTTCAATTATTATTAGCAAGTGTAATGTTACCGTTACAGTAATAACATTAAATTTGTTAATTTCATAATTTTTACTTAATATTTAACATCGATTTAATTCCAACAATCATAAAAAAATTAGTATTTATATTTAATTGCTTTTGTTACACATTGTTTCACTTTTTATCTTTTATTTCACCTTTTATTTCTATTTTACCTTTTATCTCATCGTTTATTTCACAGTTTATTTCACTTTTGTAACAAAGTTTGTATTCGTAAAAATATATAAATAAGAGTAGTTTTTGAGACTTGTAAAGACATGTTAAATAATAATTAATAAAAAATAAAAACCTTTTAAATAATTATTTATACACTTCAAAGCTTGTGTATAAGTGACTTTAATCCTTTTGTACCAAACAAATTGATAATTTGATACTCGTACTAAACAAGAGTTTTTGGAATTATTGAAAAAACTTTGATGATATCAGACTAGGTGCTGATATTCTGATCGCTGCTGCGTCTGCTGCTCCGTTTGGACGAGAGACAAATTTGAGCGAAGAGTATATTTCACAAAACGCCAAGATTGAAGAGCTCGATGATTCAAGCAAATTAAATGGCAATGACAATGACAATGTTCAGACTTTCATTGGGCATAATAAAAAGTTTGCTCATCTTAAAAAAACAATTTTTATACATTATAAAAATGGACATTGTAAACACGGAAATAAATGCAGGTATATACACGAAAGGTCCGGGAAAGAAGTAAGTAACTTTTTAATACACATCTCATTTCAAGTTTTTCATTTCTATTCAAGTTACTATGTATTTTTAGTCTCAGTCCAAACACGAAGCAAAATCACAACAATCCGGAAATCTACTGCGAATGGTAAAAGATTCTTTAATCTCAGTTGTTTTTTCAAGAATTCGCTTTGAAATTCTTACCTTGAAATAATTAACACAAATAAAAGCTTATCGAAAAAGAAATTCAAAAAGAGCGAAATATCCTTTTGCAAAGCATTCGGTATATAGTAGATAAAAATTTCTTTCAGATTGTGAGTAACGACTCGCTAGAAGCCGCAAAGAGACGAAAAGGTCCAGCTATTGAAGAGTTGCAAAATGACTGAAGATGAGACTACTTGTTCACGTTAGGTTTGTTATATTTATTTAAGGTATTATATAAACATGAAAATAATAATGATAATAATACATGTCAATCATTATAATTACAGATTTCCTGAAATTATTTGACATACTTAATATTTCTCTATTCTTAATTAAATCGAAAAATATTAAAGATATCAATAACATTTACGAGGGAAACTATATATATGCTAATGTAGCTGGTCTTTGATTTATCCTTCTTCGGATTAACAGGTCTTTCGACGAAAGTAACATTACCATCTTTGTTCACTTTATACGCAAAATGTTTTTAGTGATTTCATGCTGCATTTATTAGTACGTATTGCTTAATCTGCGTGTACTTATCGTTATATCGAAATACACAGACTTTCTTTATAGTGTACCCTGTTATAGTGGAGACTAATTAAATTCACGTTATAGTGGATAATATTCTAATAAAATCCACTGGATATAGTAGATCTACTAATAAATTTTCAAAAACTCTCAATTTAATGGAGACTTTTTTGCTAGATCATGCAGCTTTTTCTGATACGATACGATACTGATACATGTACTGTTACACTCGTAACACCATTCGACGACCCTCTTAATTTTGGTAGGATCCACATTATAGGTCCAATGTTCTCTCTTTTGTTCTCACAAACACCCTTATTCATATCTCGTGTATTCTTTCTTTTTAACACGATTCTCCCCCAAACAATGTTAACAATTATATCTTGCATTCTCTATTTTTTTATCACGGTTCTCTCTTATACATTTATCTTATATTTTCTTTTTATTATGTCACTTTCTCTCTCTTAAACACTACCTTTAATTTGTCTTGCATTTTCTTTTTAATTGTCACGATCTCATAGAAAGACTTTCATATGATTGGCTAATATAAATCAATTGTCCGGAATTGTCCGGATAACCTATTTATATACTTTTTGAGAACGTCACGTTTCACTAATAAAATCACCGTAAAAACCATTTTCTAGCTTTAACGAATGTTAATATTCACTATGCAAAAGAATCTCCAAATAATTCAAAACCTGACATACTTTGCTTAGAAGGCAAAAAACTTCACTATTTACTACTATTACCAATTCTATATATGTACTATTATGCTGAAAACAGTAAACGAAAAAGACAAGCAAGATGTTTAATGTAAGTTTAATCTTAAAGAAAAGCTTTATATACATATATCATTTGTCATTTACTTTATAATCTTTAGATCTAAATTAAAGTTAAGCTCGTTGGGTAATGTGTATAAATGTGAATAAATACTAGTGGTGTAATGTGTCTAGTAAAGATAGTAATGACTGAAAAATAGAATAGTATTTACTATTTACATGTAAAATATAAAGCTCCCCTAATTTCTTTGATTGATTTGATTAGTCAATAATCATGCTTGGATCGACATAAATTAGCCAATCACATGAATGCCTTCCTATGTGTCACGATCTCTATCTTAACAAAGTCCTTAATTGTATCTTACATTCTCTATTAAACAATGCTATTAATGTTCTATGTACTCTCTGAATTGTATTTCTTTACTTTTGATCATAGTCATAGAAAAGTAATACTACTATATTAAACTCTAAAAAACGTATATAAGAAAGGTCTGCGGGCCTCAATAAAGATTAAAGTAAGACTTATAAAATTCCCTCGTAATAATTGACTGACAGTTAGGACCTTGATCCAGAAAGACATTGTTTAGAAGTTTGATGAAAATAATCGAGCTTGGTAAAGACACGTGTAAAAGATAATAGAAAACCAAATTAGATTTAAAAATTAACAAAGAAACAGTTTAACATACACATCTCTAAAATCCAACTTAAAATAAGATATCCATAGATATCAGCACAGGCAAACAACACCGATTATTATTTAAGACTCTTGCTCTCCAAAAAACTGCTGTTACCGAAGTGTAACAAATTTCATTGATCTCGTGATTTCTGAAGGAACCCGTTCATTTCGATCTCAATAAGTTATTTCAATTATCTGAGCTCCTTAGTGTAATGTCCCATCCTTCCTATTTTAAATTGACTCCTGTTTTCCTTTTTTCAAAAAAGGTAATTCATTTATGAAATTCGCTTTTCATCTACACATTTTTCGCTTTTGATTGTTTTCCCGTTTTTCACTTTCATCTGTCTTTTTCTTTGTGTTTATGTTTTCGCTTTCCCATTTGATTGACAGCTCATTTTTTATTATTCATTTTATCTTTTTCATCCATCTTTCGCTTTCGTTATCACCTGTTGTTCATTATTAACTGATCTTTAGATCAGCGTCTTCACATTTTTCACTTTCGACTTCGTCACCAATTTTCCACTTTTATTCGAATTCGTTTTCCGTTTCTTATTATTTCACTTCACTTTCACTCCCACACCAGATTATAATCATGATTTCGCTTTTGATTTATTCTACTTTATTTCCTTTTTCTTAAAAAGTTCTCTTTCTTCAATAGTATACATAGCAATAGAATCTAGAGTAATACTCTTACTCTACAATGTAAAAATCAAAATATATATATGGTCCTCATGGACGTTAATAAAAATGCAGAATTAATTGCGTACAATTCTTCTCCAAGTAACGTAACTCTTGTAAAAATGAAATAATTGTGTACAATTCTTTCACCCCGTAGTATAGCTTTGTTAAAAGATTGAAACGATTAACGGTTAGGTCCTTTGATCCAGAAAAGGCATTGTTATTGATTAAATGGCATATTGATTGATAATACAACGCATTGTGTAGAATAGTTTAAGGCTTTTGTCTAGAAAAAGCAATTGTCATTATTGAACATTGTTAATAGAAGTAACTCATTACTTAAAATTAAAGAAAACCAAAATTCTCTTACCTAAATACAAATCTTTGTAAAGCCCCTCTAATATTACTAAATCCAACGATATCCGTAGATATCGGCACAGGAACTAGATAACGAACGAATACAAATCAGTCTATACACTCTCCCCCTCAATTGTTGTAGGTAAAGTCGTTAATTACGCCTAATTACGATCCACTTGCAACACTGCTGTTTATAGAAGATCCTTCCCTTTTATATAAATCACGAGATCACATAACATACATTATTGTGGAAAAAGAATCTTACATGTACTAATGCTAAGAAGTTACTGTACGTCAATGAGTCATGCACAACGATAACTGTCGCAATTTCTTGTACAAATAACGATAACGATAACGATAAAGATGATATTCGGTTATCGGTTCCGTAACCACCAGTTTTATATGTAACCAGTTATTAAGAGCTGGTCATAAATATCACCGAATTCTCACAATTGTGTATCTCTGTCCTGTATAATTAGACGAATAGTTCTAGTGTAATGTAACATCCGTCAATTACACGCAACCCCCTCTTCTCATGTCATTGCATAAATCGATCTACCGTTACTAACAATCGACTTCCACGTTAAAGTTGCTATTTCAAAGTTTTAAATGAAACTAAACCCATTCATTTTATAAATTGATTCTGATATTCACGATTATAATAAATGCTGACGTTACCAAGAATGGAATTACTACCGCGATAAATGCTCAGTTCTCAATACTCATGATTGTAGTAAATGTATTGTTTGTCAAAAAAAGTAATCACTGTTATGGGACTTAACGTTAAGTCTAAAATATCATAATGAAAGATGGAACTAGGGATAGGAATCGATTCTTTAGAATCGATTAAAATTTGAGACATCAAAAACAAAATCGACTTGTGATAATGCGAATTTTACAAACTACTCTAACATTCAACAAATATGTTAATAACCAAGAAATCATTGAGTTTAATAACTCTGATAGTGATACTAATGACAAAATTAACTAATGTAATCCAAACTTATGAATCAAACGGATACAGAATGATAATACTTCAATTGCCTCTATACTATCTTTACTAACTTGTATCTCTACAACTTCAACTATTCTAACGAAAAAAAATTAACATGCAATGAAAAGCCAAGCCAAAGACCAGTTGTGTCATCGCCGCTTTCGTGATTTGTGCTCGAGAATCGATTTTGGGTTGAGGATCGAATTTATTTAAAAAATATTTACTAATAAAATAAAATTTTCATTAGGATTTCCGGTAATTTATTGTAGGAGTGTATACGTATATAGTATTATGATATTAACACGTAATCGTTTAGAATCGGTTCGCTCCATGACCTAAAACCGAACTGAATCGTTTTCAAATGAATGAATCGAATCGAAATTCCGGTTCGATTTAGTTCGGTTTCGATTCGGTTCCGATTCTGAGCAGAGTCATTCGACTCTTAACGATAACGATAAACATCTTTAAGCTGGATCATTTACAATGCAATGTATACATGATGAATGGCATTTGCAAAACTTTTATTTTTATTTTACTAATTGATCAACAGATATTAGTTATTCGATTACCTTATGAATTATACTTCATGAATACATACATGTACGTACAATGAAGCTAGTCATACGTATGTTTTGATGCATATATCGGTATAACAAACGATCGATTAATGCATGTACGTACATGTACTAAATGCATAAAATTTATCTATGCTTGGCATTACATGTAAAATAGGTTATCGCATTTAAAGAATTTAAAATTGAGCAGACGCGCGTGCGTGAATTTTTGATCGACATAATATGTTAAATAGTATATTTTGATTGGTTAATTCAGTATATGTGATAATCGTCCACAAAACATGATGCAAAAGTAAGAATTTAACACATATCTCGCAACTTCGAATCCTTGGCAAATTGAAAAAGAATTTAATAATCTTGTGACTTCGAATCCTTGGCAAATTGAAAAAGGAATTTAATACATATCTCGCGACTTGAATCCTTGGCAAATTGAATATAAAATGAGTGCCGCGTGTCTTTGAAAAATCAACTCAAAAAACATTTACCAACAAACTTTTATATACTCTCTCTCTTTAAACATTCTTCATATAAATTAATTAGTATTACCAAACAGCAATATCTTACTATATTAAAATACCCTTTTTCATCATATTATCATTATACACATATAAATATAAATAGCAACAATGAAGATCACTTTTGCTTCTGCTTTGCTCCTCTTGGCATTCACTTCAATCTCCCACGCCGCTCCAGTCGGTGTTTCCGTTAATGGTCTCGGTAATAGTGCATATGATCTTACCAATAAAGTAACCGGTACTACCAATAAAGTAACAGCTACTGGTAATGGTGAAGAAGCTGCCGGAAGCATTGAAGCTGGTGGCTCACAATTCTCTATTAATCGTCGTTTAGTGGCTAAAGTTAACAATGCTGTCGATGGTGCTAAAAGTGTTGTTAGTGGAGTAACGAACCTTGGATCAACAGATACTGTTGATAAAGTAAAAGATTCTGCTAGTGGTGAAGGAGCTACCGGAAGCTTTGAAGCTGGTGGCTCACAATTCTCTATTAATCGTCGTTTAGTGGCTAAAGTAAACAATGCTGTCGGGGAAGCTAAAAGTATTGTTAATGGAGTAACAAACCTTGGATCAACAGATACTGTTGATCAAGTAAAAGATTCTGCTAGTGGTGAAGGAGCTACCGGAAGCATTAAAACTGATAGCTTATCATTGCCTATTGGGCGTCGTTCGGGGGAAGTAAAAAATGCTGTCAATAAAGTAGCAAGCACTGTTAAAGGTACTGCTTAAGACAAAGGAATTAACGTTGATGGCGTAACTGGAAGCTTGTCCAAACGTGCTAACACTGTTTTTGGATTGCCAAAACAGCATTAAATTGCCGGACAATAATTATCGTTATATTTTATAATTTTATTAATTATGGACCGTTGTATATATTATTAATAATATTAATGAATGAATATGCTATAAAAAATTATTTATAGTAAAGATTCAATTTAATCGAAACTTTTGCTAGTTCAATTTCTTACTTATTTTTTTCATTTATTTATTTAATTTAATTACCATTTACTAAAAAATTATTTATAGTAGTGATTTAATCAAAAGCTTTTTTGCTGGTTCAATTCCTTGCCTACTTTTTTATATATATTTATTTAATTTAATTGCCATTTTAATAATAAAGGATATTTCTGCGATAACGGGAAATGAAAGATATTCCAATGTGAATTAAAAATATATCGTTTAATATTTGCGCACTAATGTTATCAAGGCTCAAAGTAACTGCATTATCTGTAATGGCAAGAACGCGAAATAACCCATAATAATTTTTTTTAATTTAGTCGGTTTATTTATAATGCATAAATAATAGCCGGCCACTCAAAAGAGTACATATTAATTTCATGCTGACGGATAAAATTAGGTATAATCGGACTTTCTATGATTTGATTATTTTTGGGTTTTCTTCTTGCGGAAGATGTCAGCGGCATTCTCTTTATATGATAGGTTACAGAATAGATGTAGTCTTGTTTAAGAAACGAATATAGATCTTATATTTTTGACACTTACAGTAGATATCACCAAAATATTTTAAGTCAAACTCCATGATGTAAGAGATTCATCGGTCTCATATTCATTATCATGGAAGAGTAGTCACACTAAAACAAGCGCTTACACCAAATACAGAGGCCTCCCAGAATATTGTGGACACTTTTTAAAATACAATAACGCAAAAACTAATAAAAAAGCAAGATTTA